CTTCTGCGAGAAGTACGGATTGTAAGGTACAACCCATTGATTTGCCGTCGCGTTGTCATACTCCCGACCTCGAAATTTTAACACACCCTCCGACCGACGGCGACGCCTGTAGACCGGATACCCATCAACATTTGCTCGTGTAATCTCCGCCAAAGGGCAGCACGGCAACGCACTTGTCCAACAGTTTGGGTGGAAGTAGGTAGAACGCGTTTTCATTCAGCACAGGCGCACTCTCTCTAGTGTACTTGGGTTTCTTGCTACCCGCGTTGTTGTACTTGGTTTGGAGTGGCAGAACACGACGTAGAGTGTCTTGAAGTGGAGGCTTCTCAAGTTGAAGACTGCGCGCAAGTTGTATTAATGTCACCTCTCCAAGACATCTTCTATGGGCTTCTGACTCGTTAAACAACGCTCATTTCTTCTTGTCGTCTGCTTCTCTCTCCTTTCTGTTCAACCGGGGCCTACCAGACTTCGCAGTTTTGGGGTTCAGACGGATGCGCAATCCACTATCAGTATTTTTCTCTTCGTTGTCATCAGGAGTGGTCTCAAGCGCAAGCTGCTCCATTTCGGGCTTGGTTCCGGTTCGATTTCGGCTGGTTGTCACTGGAGAGGTCACTTCATCTGTTTCTGTTTCTTCTCTCGTGACTGGAACCTTCGTTTTTTTAACCTTTACACGTTTGCGCTGCCTAATGTTCCTCCATTGTTGCACGACAAAGTCTAAATGCTCACGGTACTCGTCGTCATCAGAGATATCGGCTAGCTCACTGCATATAGCCTGGAACGCGCTGACTGCCTCCTTGTACTTAACATTAGCGTCAAGCACCTTGTGTTTCGCCTCCCCTGGTTTAAACTCATTAAGCACAAAAGGCCGCGGAGTCATCGGTTGTTCAGCAGGATGTAACCATCTAAATGAATGACATGTCAGACCCTCAGTACAACATTAATATTGGATATTACATGGACAACTCACGGCTTATACGTGGATAAATTGTGAGTTAACCCACCTTTCATCGATGCAACTCAGCGGTATTACGCTTCCTGGGGCGTTACTCCACTTCCGAAACGCGATCGCGTGTTGACAAGGCAGACGCATTGCAGAAGCAAACGAGCAAGTGCAGCTCCACGTTTTCAAATCCACAGCATGCGTCTTGTGTTTACCCGTCACCTCCACGAAGCCTGGATTTGACTTTAGCCAATATTTTATTTAAAACAGATTTCTAACAAGAATTAAAATACCAGTACGTGTTTTAAAAAAACTGTTTTTAAATGTTGAAAGTCTATTTCATTTCCGCTTAAGTACACCAGGAATTCCCTTCTCCTTAGAAGAACAAAATTCCTGGCCCTAGAAGCTCTTCAATCCGCCCGAGTAAAGATGGTGAAGCTCTTTTGCGCCATTTTTGGTGTGGCGGGAAGTGCGTTCTCCGTGGAAGTAGACGAAGGCAAAACCGTGGATGACTTGAAGAAAGCGAGAAGGCCAACGACCTCAAAGAGATTGATGCAGGCAAGCTGCAGCTCTTCCTGCAGAAGACGGCGGACGGCGCGTGGCTAACACAACTTGACGCGCTGGAAGGCGTGAGGGACACTAATGGCTGCACGCCTCTACAGTTCGTGGACGCGAAGCTTCGAGCCGTTGGGCTGGCTAGTCGTGAACTGGGCGTAGTGACCGAAGAAGAAGCGGCCGTTGAAAAGGGTCATGTGCACGTGCTGGTTTTGGTTCCTCCCCCGAATGTCGGGTCAAAGCGTCCAGCAAATGATGAATTTGATGAATTCGTGAAGAGATTGAGATCAGTGGATTCCGAATTGGCAGCCTACAGGCCTAAGACATTTACCCACTTCGAGAAGTTGTCTGTGCATCAAGACGAGTTTACACTCGACAAGTCTGTCAATGATCCAACAGAGGGACAACCCAATTGTCGAGACGCCTACGTTGCACGAATTTTGGAAGGATTTCGGCGAGTTCCCTCCGTTCGGAAGGAAGAAGTGGTGTTTTGGAAGGTGATTAAAAAGCTAAAGTTGACCATAGAACAAAGAAGGATTGTGATTGTGGGCTCGCCGGGTGTCGAGAAATCCTGCTTTCTTATGCTGATCGCCTTTTACCTGGCATGCATTAAGAAGAGGAGGGTACTTGTCATACGTCGCTCGAAAAAACGTTTTCTTAAGAACGCGGTGGAGTATTTTAATGGCCAGGGATGTTACGCACGACTAACGAATCTCGCACCGAATGAGATCAACGCCATCCGGCGCCAAGTTGAAGGTGCATTTGTTCTCGTTGATGGTTACGATCAAAAAGACGGGGAAATGGACAACGAACTCGAGCCTTTTCATTTTCTTGCAACATCGGGCCAGTACGATGCGAAACATAACGACAGCGCACGCGTTGTGGTTTTACCGGCGTGGCGCGATACTGACCTGCTGCAGTACGCGAAGTTAACGAATCGGGCTACCGAAACTGATCTGCGCACGATCGAGCGATACGACACACCGATTGCAAAACTTGTTAAGGAACAGTATTTGTAGAGTGGGGGGAGTTTACGCGAGTTCTGTAAAACACGACGACTACTTGTGGAGTGTGTAGCGTACGATTGCGGTTCCGTGGATAATGGGCAAGCGTTTGAGTTGGTGTACAACTATGGTGGGGGTCAAAGCAAGAGCCAAGTGGATCGTGTGGGGCGTCACTACATCAATGACTGCAACCGAGAAGAGGATTACTATGAAAGTCGATCGTGGTTTTTATCTGTCGACTCGGGATACGTGTTGAGCCAGTTGGGGCGAGAGGCTGACACGGACAAGCAGCTAAAGGTTTGCAGGTGCAAAATCTGTTGGTGCCGGCTTTCATGGCGTTGCATACGAGCAATTGCTTCAC